CGCATAGACTTGTACCAAGGTCATCGATTTAGCCTGTTGTAGCTTCAGTCAGAGGATTACCACCCTTCCGTTGATAGGCTTCCAATCGATTATTCTATCGGCAAGGTTGGGTTATTCCAGAACGCCAACACCGGCCTGTGCGCGAGTCGTGATATCGGCCCCTGAGTAGAATGGCTTCCATCCATTGAGGTTCAGGAGTCCAGAGCCTTGAAGTTTAGTTGACGAGAGTCCAACAATTTCGAGTTGGTACTTCATGGCCTCATCAACTAATTCATGTTCTTTTCCTCTGAGTGAGAATGTTCCAATTTTCGACTTTAAGCTTCCACTGGTGCTGTCGTTCTAGTGAGGCTTTTCTGAGTGGTATAATGACATTGCGCTGTCTTCCTCCTCCGTTCAGAACGGGTAGCGACTCCTTTGTTGACTGGTATCTTCGTTGTCGTTCCGTCGGTCTTCTTCAGCCGTCGTTATGCTGCAACGCTCCCGGCTGGTATAGGGCAATGAGCAAGTTCTGATAGCCGACTTTTCGCAGTCTGCCTCAGTTCCCCAACAGCCTGCGCGGCCCTTGGTAACCCGGTTGACGACCGCTTTGGTGTGATTTTTGATGGCGTCAGTACAATGAATGGCAAGTCGCTAAATTTTACGGAGACTTGCCAGGTCTCCAACCCTCCTCCTTTCTCATCCAGGCTTGGGACCGGTTTAAATGTTATCTGACTATCTTAAATGATTTCCAACACCTTTGTTCCATTCTGTACAACGAATTAAACTCGTTTTATAACCAAATGTTGTTTATCTAATGAACTGTGCAAATTGTTATTGAATTTATGTTAATAAGATTTGCAGGAGCCTTCATGCCAGAATTATCAAGATGTCTTTAGGAGGAATCATCGAAGGCATTTCGGAACTGTTGCCCATTGTTTATAAGTTTAATCGTACCTTCAGTAATAGTTACGTCAGTATCGTTGACTGAAAAAAACAGACTTTCCTTATTAACGAGTCCCTACCTTTTTCGATATTATCACAGCTACTCCAGTTTGATTTAACAGCTGTTATGCTTGAAAATCCATACTCTGAATCTCGCTTCAGTTTCTTTACGTTTTTCCCTCAGTTTCAACCCCGCTATCTCTACCAGCCCCCTTTCCGGCCTAACTCTCTTCATCCGTCATTCTATGCTTTCTTTAATTATTGTGTTGTACATTTGTTTTCGTCTTTCATGTCATTGGCTGGTTTGTAATTTTTTGTGCTTTAATATTCATCTCCGGGTAGTTTATCACTGTTTATGGAACGTTTTTGATGAACCTTTCGTGGCAGAACTATATACGTTACATTTAACAAGAAAAAGGAATTTTTTGTCACAACAAAATCGATTCGTATTGAAAAGATTGAGAGTTTAAATAGCGTTCCTAAATATGTTTGATCTCTGGGTTATCAAATACGCCGCGAAGTCATAAGCTTGAGCTTCTATTGACAGGAACAGCAACAAGTCTAATACTTCTGGTGTCAAATGCATAATCAAGGCTATCAAAGGCTATCACACCTATCAGCAGCACATATGCGGGACAGAGAGGGTAAGAGAGTGAGAAAAAAAGACAACGAGTATAAGTATCTGTCATCTTTTGTCTTTTATACTGTACGAAGGCCAGAAATTGACTCTTTTCGTACTAATAGGAGCAAATGAACTCCAGGTGGCTTGATGTCGCGGAGCATAACAAACGAGGGAATCATGCAATAAGACGTAAAGGATGACTCCTACTCAACTTTGTGGTTTACGTCAACACTTGATAAACGATTCTGGATGTTGGAAATGTGAGATACCAAGGACTGTTGGTTTTGTAGACACATTTGATCGGTTATCACAGGACACGAAAATGAGACCTGAATAGTCCACATGACACTACAGGTGAATGCAGTAGAGATTTTTGGAATAAAGTTAACGAAACGTACTGGTATACCAACTTTTACCAGTGTCAAGAGTAAATGCGAAGCTCGCCGCACTTTCTTTAGTATACTGGTAACATAAGATAATCACTTACGATAATGAAACAGAAAAGTGACCAAATTAATGAATGTTCCCACCGATTTATTTGGCAAGTTAGTTTGATTGTAGCGCGTTTCGACCCCTGCCGCTCCTGGTGACGATTCGTTGTTGCATACGCTTCTCGGTCAAATGCTGAAAGACCCGGACTTGCTGCAGCAAATTTATTTCGCGAAAATATCAGTAAAGGAGGTGGTGGACGAAACGCAGAAATATTTTAACAGCATTGAACAATTTTCTCACCGATACATAGAAAACTGGCATTCGCTTTTCGACGACGAAGTGACGATAGTGCGCGGTGTTGAAGACATCGAAGAAACCGTTCGAAGTCCGAGGTATTTGTTTTCTGTTAATTTGTTGTTGTCTTCCTTTCTGTTTGATGCTGAAATATGTATCATGTGTATTGAATTGACCTATTTAAGTAAATCTGCTCTTTTGTCGTACAGCTGATTGCCTGCCTAGCTTCTTGCTATATCATCTGATATTGACACAGCTGATCATGCAGTTGCGCATCGCTGGTCGAGTCAGTTAAAGTAATTGAAATCATTGGAGTTGGTGACGCTGTCGAGAATAATGTCTTTCAGATTTATGTGATTAATATGCTTATTTTTTAAGCAGAGGGGGCACAGTATAGAGCTATTTTTCAACTGCTACTAACTGTCAGCTCTACTGAAAGAAAATGCCACAGTTCTCTGCAACGTTTTGAAGACGAACAAAAGGCAAGCCGAAGTTGTTACTTCTTATCAACTCCCTCATTGAAAAAATGAAATCGACCAAAAGATTTCAAAAGATTTCTGAAAATGTCAAAACCCTCGAGAGAAAAAAATAAATGTCATGACGGACCACGCATATCAAGCTGAAATAATATGTATTCGAAGGGGAATGTATTGATGCCATCAGGGCGGAACAGGTTCGAGTGAAAGCGAGAGTTAAGAATGCGTTATCACCTCACAAAGATTCGACTAAAAATTTTTGCTTTGGCTTCTGTGAGATTACCGTAAGCAGTAGGAGAAATGCTGTCTTATCCATTTGTAGCATTAAGTTACTGTCATACCTTCAGGCATTAAAAAATTTGATCGAACATTGATTTTCCAAATTCAGTTTGCTGTTTTGGTATTGCCGAAAGAATATATTTCGCAGCGGGGAGACCAACTGTTACTCGAGAGGACAGTAGTTGTGTACAGTACACGGAAAGCAGTATACGGATCTTTCTATTCCATAAGTATTTTGGCTGCAATCAGGAAAAAGTGAAAAGAGTTGCGTCTGATTGCTAGATGAGCTTCGGCACCTAGAACAGAGTGGGCGTTACAATTGTTACCAGCGCACGGCCGTTAGTATGTTTCAGACAAACTTTTTAAACCTCCTTGCACAGTGGGTATCTCTTTCATTTTGCACACTGCAACAACAGAAGCGTTCGGGCGACCGATCTTCAGCAAAGATACGCAATTGATTTTTTCTTCATGTTGAGGATGCCAAGGCTTATTGGTTCACCATTTCGTACCAGTTCAACTTACATATGTCATTTTTGAGTTCATATCTGAAATGAATGATTATTCCCCGATTCTGTTGGTGTTAATGGGCTGTTTGAAAGTTACTGGATGAGTCATCCAGACGGACATCAGACCAAAGGTCAGTTATGCTCTAGAAACTTGAAACTCCATGTTAAATTATTTAGGATGCTTCAAAAGCCAGGACGCTGTAGAAGGCTGGCATGGTAGTCGCTGATAATTCAATTCTACCATCCTTTAGTTCGAAAGTGCATGTTTGGTCTGCAAAATAGGCAGAACCTTAGAGAAACAATGTTGATGCGCATATCGTTCGGTCAAGCGCAACCGCTGCCATAAAACAAATATGCAGAATCTATTGTCGGATAGTCAAAAATGCGAGTTCTACTTTGATCGCAACTTGGAAGAATCAGACAGCGCTGATATGCTGCTTTTGGACTACTTTATGAGTCTTGCTAAAAATTGCAACTGCTACTTGAATGGCCCCATAATTTTCTGCCTCTTGTGTACTCCTAATTTGTTCTTTGCTTGTACCATGCTTTTTTTGCATGGTACAAAACCCAAAATAAACTTGTATGAGGCTATCGTTAAACCGTATGATCATCGCTGAAGCAAGGATCTACCAGCAGACGACTTCTCGGATTTTAATTATTGAAAGCTGAGGCGCAATGCGGTTAATAATCATATAAGTAAACTGCTGTGTGGTGCGGAAGTGTACTTTAGCATATTGGTATATAGTTGGTTGGTTGTTATCTGCTTATTTTTGCATTTGTACATAGATATGGTTTGCGAGGTAGAATCGACGTCACGTTGAACGTAGAAGATGCAAAGTCAAAGGCGTTTATCTTGCCGTTGGAAATCAAAAGCGGGAAGTCGATACCGTACGTGGAACATCAAGGACAAGTATGTGCATTTCTCCGTTGAACTGTTGACATTTGTGAGTGAAACTGTTACCGGTGTTAAACGGAAAAATTTTGTTTACGGTATAAACTTTCAAGGTTCACTTCTTAAATGGAGTCACTGAAAAATTTCTGAAGATTGGCTTTGAATATTTAATTGTATAGCTTAATATAGTAAAATATAGTTAATTCAATTATGTAAGAAATTAAAATGTATTTACTACGCACTGGATCGAAATGAATACCAAAGAAGTTTATCCGGAAAAACAAAAACATCGAGGCATAGAATTGCACATTAATTTAGACCGAATCATGAACCCGCGTTTGCTACCTGCATATCTTATGTTGTCTGTCAGAATGGGCCAAGGGCATTTTGAATTCAGCGAAGATCAGATTTGCCTTTAAGACTAAAACGAAGCTAAGATCAGTAGTAACGAATGTAAACGATTGAATTCCGTTTAAAGACGAATGGACGTGGTTTACCCGATCGACTAGCCTGCGTTGCGATCTGCTTTACATTGGCCAGACAATTCGGCTGCTGTGATTCAGAGTTGCTGAGCATAAGGCAGTCAACTCACAAGAGATTGTGAGCGAAGAAACGTTGCAAAAGTTTGGAATAACTTCTGGTGAGGCCCACGTTATATTCCCACCGGATATCACATCGATTTCACCGGACCAAGACCAATTGCAACGACATATCATTGGAAGGATGTTATTAGATACCTTTTTCATTCAGACTGCCGAATATGTCAATATGAATCTCAACTTTGGGATGGAAATGCTAAAAATGTGAATGAACCTACAGAGAATACATGAGAGGTCAAAGTCATTTCGACGTGTTATGGGGAAAATGGTGATTTCTTTAATAACTGCCAAATACGACGCGTGCGAGACTTCAAGTTGTGATCTTGACTAAACATGTTGACCAAAAACAGTATAAACATACGGTTGGACTGCTGATC